GCAGAAAATACAGGATGAGAATACATTCTACTGCTGAAAACCACTGATTTTCCATGTGTTCCCCCATGAGATAAACATGTACGCACATCAGTATAGGATACCATTCTATAAAGTAGACCTTAAAGTCCTTGATAGGTTCTGTCCTTACAGGAGGATATTTATTTCTTCACTGCAGTATGAAAATCAACAGGATTGATGGGAGGCCTGTTGACCACACTGCCTTGTTACTGCAGTGCACAGTGGCTCTATTGTGTAAACATCAGTAGTCTGAATTTATGCAAGAGGAACTTGAAATAGCCATGGTGAAATACGTTATGAGGAACTCAGTTGATATTCGTGCTCAGATATTCAGCTTTGTCAAGAGGTTTTTTATAAATGACTTGTAGTGTCACAGAAAAAGTGGAGGAAGTGACTGTAGGACAATCACTGTGGTGTCACCTGTGGCCTGAATGAATAAACATTCTACTGAACTCAACTGACAACTGAAAATGCAATAGCAATGCATAAGTGTTGCCTACACACTGGGCAGCTTGACACTTGGCTCCTGCAGCTCAATGATCTGTAGTCACAGGCACCTTAATGTAAAGGCTTACCAGGGCTAAATTCCTCTAACTGAGTACCAGGGGCCTTAAAAGAGATGAGTTTAAAATTGTTTAAATGTATATACTATAAATTATATTATTATGTTGTAGCATTGTGGAGTAGCTAGGTGAATGGAGAAGGAACGATGAGGGGACAATGTGTGTCTGCTAGCCCAACAGACCTCAGGTTTATTCCCTTACCACAGCAAAGCTAACCCGACATTAAAGTGTCCTTCAAAGGTAGGGTGGGTAACCTGGTGCTTCTCTCAACTTATATTTCTCATTAGCTCATTCTCCACTAACAAGTGTCCCCTTAATACAGAAAAACAGACGCTCTGGCACGAAATGTAGAATATACACACTTAACCTCCTTTTCCCTCCTTGGAACTACTTCTCAGCCAATCACCCACTACGGTGGACACCCTCCTCAATAAAACAAGTGCTAAATAACACATAGACAGAAACTTAAACCTTGCTTGATAATATATTTGCACTGCTGCTTTGAACAATATTTGGCCAGGGAAGTCACAGAGGTTTCCTGTGAAAGCTGTGATCATGAACTTACTGTAATGTAGAACAAAATATATATTCACATTTCGAAATTCCTGGAGACTGACAAATCTGGTAGTTGTAGCATTGAGCAGCAACACTGGCATCAGTGGCATGTGTGCAAAGTGGAGCACAGGGACCTGGTGGGGGCCTTCAGTGACTGGAGCGATAAGAACTGCCTCCTCCTGAACTCCACCAAGTCAGTAACAAACATACTCATTTTGAACCAAACCATAATGCTTTTTTTTTTAAAAAAAACATAACCACATATTTTGTTGCCTAAACCTAAGGAAGTAAACCTAAAACAGAAGTTTATTTTAGAAAGAGACTGTATGTATTTAATTATTATTATTAAGTGCACACTGTACATTTCCTGTAAAAACAAAACTTGATTTTGTGAAGAGACAATGCATGTATGGAGGATAAATTGACATGCTGTCCCTGAGTGTCCAAAACTGAGAGTAAGAGTGTCATAATTTGACTGGAGTACCACTGACCAAACATTGGTATTTGAGAGAATGTGTTGATAAAACACTTACAGATTCTCTTCATTGGATGTTGTAAACATGTCATAGTCTAGCTCTTGACTATAACAAGACCCCCACTTTTTCAAATGTCATTCAGGCCAGTATTAGTAAAGACCTCACCCATGGCTTGGAAGAAGATCATTGGACACTTTGCCAAATATAACCTACATGTCTCACCTGTGAAAGTCCTTTACTTTTTAACCTTTAACAGGAGTAGGTAACTCAACGTCTTTTAGCACTATCTGGACTAATGACTGTCAGTCACACATAAAAGAAGACACTCAGGTGAGCATGTGTCCTATTTGTACCAATTTTAGTCTGTGACCAAACAGAGCCAAACTGTTTTATGGGTTTTCTGTACCTATAAAGACTTAGAAAAGAGTATACAAGGAGTAGAGCATGTTTAGCAGATCAGTGCAAATTGTTGCAGAAAATGTCATGTCATGTCATGCAGAGGGTCCCTGCTTTGAATGTCAAAGTGCTGTGTACAGTTCCTGTGTTTTTTTTTTTCCATCTATGTATGGTGTATTCCTCTTTTTAACCACAGGTTGTCTATAGTATATAAGGTGAGGTTCCACAGATAGACCAGTAGTCTGCACACTTACTCATAATGATGAAGCTGATTCTGTCTCTCACTCTACTCTGGATGCTCTGCAGCACAGGTAACTCTACACACTCCTAAACTGTATTCATACAGGCATTAGAATCTAATATAAACGTTTTAAGAGGTTACCTGGAATGTAATTTCAAAGTGAATCAAAGTGGTTTAGAGTAAGCTTTTTATTTTAAATAAACATGAGCGTGAAATGCCTAGAAAACATGTTATAACATAAAGTGACTACAGAAATAGGCAGGGCCCGGTAAGTTTGTAGAATAAACATTTAGATGAGGAGGTGAAGGGAGAGCTAAATGGTGTATTTGTCACAAGAAGGACACCTGAAGACAAAAACTGCAGCCATTTAAACTGATGCCTCAGCCTGTTAACTTCTTTTGCTGGACAATATATTATTCAAGAAATAATTGTGATGAATGACATTATTGTCATTTTAAGACCTTTTTTTGGCCACTGATATAATGATAACATAACAGTGTAACAACTGAAGGACAAAAAGCAATGAGCAATAAACTTTAAATTCCTAAGAATATTAAGACATTGGAATTTGAATGGCAGGTTCATATTAACGGGTTGTCCTCTGTCATTCTGCTTTAAAGATCAGGACAACTCTGCTGTTTATTCTGCCATCATGTTGGCTAAAATGTTGGTGATATTCTTATGTAAACAAACACACGTAAACACAACAAGCCATATCGTGGTAAGCAAATATGATCAAGGTCATGTCCATATATCTTACGTTAAGTCGATAATGTCATTACTGTGACAGACCTAGAGTTGCCCCTTAAATGCCAGTAAGTAAGCTGAGGTAGTATTTTATTGTGAAATTGTGTATCTGTGGTTTTGTGGTTAAATCATTTATCAGTTTAACAATTAAATATGTTTGTTGGTGCAGTTGGAGCTTTTACGTGTAAGGATAGTCAAAAAAACACCACCCATAGCTGTGCACCCAATGAATACTGTGCAGCAGCTGCCTCACAAGGTAAGTGTAAAAATCAATCTGTTGTTTCCTCATGTCATTTACCTTTTTTAATCAAGATTTCTGCATTACAGTGTTTGCTCTGCACATGTTTTTCATTAACATTTACAAACTGTACTTTGATTTCACAGGCAGCCCAGGAAATCAGCAGTCCATATCATGTGTGTCGTCCTCCATCTGCGATCCAATCAATCAGATGTTTTCGTTCAACTTTGGCTCCTATAACCTCACTGCCTCGGTTAAGTGCTGCAAAACAAACAGCTGCAACAGTGAGGATGTGACCTGTAAGTGAAGTAAAAAGAATCTGTGTTGCTGCTGTCAAATGTCAGACTGCTGCGATGAGGAAAATGGGAAGTGTTTTTGGCGTGTCTTTTGTTCTGTTTCAGACCCCGCTAAACAAAAAGAAAATGACCTAAAGTGTTCCACCTGTGACAACTGTAACGAGACTGTACAGTGTGTGGGAGACCAGGACCGCTGCCTCAGTGGGAGTGGTGAGCTCCAATGCTGCAAATCAAAGATAGTCTGTCAACATGTGTCACTTACTGCTGCCTTCCTTGTTATTTCTTCTTTGTGAGATTTGTAAAAGCTGTGATTTAATATAACAGTGATTTTGTCATCCACAGTGGCGACAAACAACACCGCCAAAAAAGTCTTTGGCTGTGCCTCGAAAAACCTGTGTGACGCTTCCTCCAAGCTGAATTTCCTGTCTGACTATCTCAACTTCACCAGTGGACCAAAGTGTTGTGTTTCCAGTCTTTGTAATTCTGCCTCGACTGTCAAACTGAGTGTTGCTCCTTTCCTGCTTGGACTCATAATGCTTGCTGCCTGTTAAAACAAAGAGCAGAGCCTAATGTAGCTGTAAAGTGAACTGGAAAAAAATGATCAGAACATTAGGAGTTACCTATTATCACTACTTTTTGTGATATGTTTGTTATGATTTAAAATTTGAATCTTAACATAATTGAATTAATATTAATAACTGCATATCCCCTCTTAGTCCAACATTTACTATTCTTTTAGCTCTGCTTTGGTCTCCACCACCTCCATATGAAAATATCTATCAGTAATATTTTTGTTTATTTGCCACTTACATTTACGTACATATAGACTGAGTGTTATGTCATGTAACCAACCATACTGCTAATCAAATCTTTAAAATCAAAATTATTTAATTGGCTCTCTTGTTTTGTTTCTGTTGTAATATTTGAAATATAAATGAATGACTACTGTAATACGTACTTACCACCTAATAAAACTTCTGATATGTTAAATGGTTCCTGGTTTATTTGTGTTGTGCAGAGCATTGAACTAAAAAGAATAATTAATGTGTTTAGAAAATCATGTTAGACTGGATGTGGAAATGGTTTATTAATATTTATACAACAGCTAGTTCTGACCAAGTAATTTGATTGAACAAGAGGCCTTTCATGAGTGCTAATATAGAGTTCAACATCACTGGGACTTTTGAATATGCATGTTTCACTCTGCTTTATAGGTGTTCCAAACCGTTCATTACATTTACTGTTAATTTGCCTTCATTAATGGTCGTGGTGATGAAGTTTGCATTGCAAAGATGAACATATTTCCACAAATAACATTTGAATTAAATTATGAATGGTCATCAGAAGAAGACAAATTTAAGGGAAGAAGCCTGGATACTTCACTGCAATCCTCCAGGTTTGCTCATAGAAGTCACAATGGTGTTGTCTTATCAAGCTGTTAACTCATCAAATCCACACATGCCACCAAAGCAACTGCCAACAGACTTTAATTTCACTGACTGCACAATAAGTGGAAACATACATATACATGTACATAACACTTGTGTAGACTTACACAAAGTAGCAAACTAGTGTGCAGGAACGTCTAGTTGTGTGTTGCTTGGAGACAGTCCAGCCCCGGTCCAGTCAAATAAATGATTAAATAAACAAACAAATCGTAATCAGTTGTCACTTATTACTGTAAACTAAGAAATGGAGCTTGTACAACTATTGTATAAACACAGTATCACATGAAAGAGAATGCTGTTATACTGAATATCTGAAGTGTAGACTTGAGTTAGACGAGTCAAAAATTTCATGACTTTAGTCACGACTTGACAAGATCAAAAAAGGCTTGCAACTTGACTGGAACTTTAACAACAATGACTCATGAGTTCACTTGGACTTGAACCTTTTGACTTGAATATAGTTGAAAACTTCCCCCACACCCAGACACTAAAAAGTGTCTTATTTTAAAAATTGGCCACAATTCTATTCACTTTCCCCTAATTTCCTGAACCAACTAACGTTAGTGCTATTTAGTCCCAGCAAGGTGACACCTAATTCCCCCACGTCCACTTAGTTTGAATCAGTCCAACGGCATCCAGGAAAGTTGCAGGATAGAACAATGAAGGATTAATGTTACATGTCTGAGCATTAAATGGAAAAAAATGATACCAAAGATAATTTCGTTCACATACAAAAAAATAAGTCTCAAGTCAAGGCAGGCAAGTCGGAAGTCTTAAACGTTGAGTTTCAATTCCTAAACAAGTCATAATATGCTCTTCACCAAATGTAATGTCATTTTAACAACAGAGTAATCAACTATTACATTTACAAAAATTATGAATGCTTTATAAATTTAAACTTATTTGTTAAAACAAGTTTTTAGTTGCAACTCCATCTGTAATTTTCAACAGGCATGCTGCTATTACAGTAAATGTAATAGTTGATTACTCTTGTTAAAATGACATTACATTTGGTGAAGAGCATATTATGACTTGTTTAGGAATTGAAACTCATCGTTTAAGACTTCGGACTTGCCTGGCTTGATTTGAGACTTACTTGTGACTGGCAAAACAATGACTTGGTCCCACCTCTGCTAAATATCAGTACGGTTGTGGTTATCAGCAGCTTTGTGCCTACAACCGAATCAAAGCTGCATGCACTGATATTCAGTACAGCAGTGCTCCCTGTAGTGCGATATAGGCCTTTTTCACAGCAGACATTTTGACATGTCATAGTAGGAAAAGCACTGGTGAAATTGATAACATTAATGCTCGCTCAGTTCCATTAGGTGTCCCAGTAAACTATTCCAGTGATCCAGCATGCACAATGCCAGGACCTTCACTAAGTGGATGCAGCCATCATTAATGTTAATAAATACACCCAGGCCTTTTGTATTATAACGTGTTAAAATGTCTGCCATGAAAAAGGTCTATTGCCTGAATCCAGGCCAATTATTTCATCCAATAGGATGAAAATCAACAGGTTCAGTCAACAGAAGTTTTTTGATGTCAGTTGTTGAACCACTAAGTCCTCTGCATTTTTTCTGATACGTCAGTAGCTCACAAACAATGCAGGAGTTTATGTGTTCAGTCCACAACCTAGCCAGTTCCGTTAATGCTGACAGGAGCAGGTCTCTACTCAAAACTTCAGATATGAGGACAAACAAATAGCAGCTACAAGCTCCATTTATGTTAAGTGCATTTTCACTTTATTACACGTTTTTAATTGAAATTTGATTTTACTGAAGAAGAGGTGGAAGTGGAAGATAGAAAATTATTATGCTTTGACTGCCCTCTGCACACTACCTGCTCACTATCAACAGTAGACAAGGAGTTCATTTGAAGTTATATTTTAACCAACTGAAAAATGCAGACCCAATAGTCACCCTACCTTAAGCTCTCCTGCAACTCCTGGGAAAATATACATCATTCTGTGCTAAATTTCATGTAGAAACAGATCGATCATATGGTGCAATAGAAAGAAAAACATGTTTTAAAGTACATTTGTGATTGTTATACATTATTTTGTAGAAGCCAAGTTGCTCTCACAAACACCAGTAAGAGTTAATGTAAAGTTGAGATGTATTACATTTTTCCATTCCTATTTATTTTGCTTGAGTAAAGGCACTTTAGTACATTCAGTACTCTGACACAATATCAACTTCACCTGTATGGGTTAATTGCAGACGTAAATACCTTCAAATAAGTGCATCATTTTTTGTGTTTGTCTAGAATACAAAAAGCTGAAGATAGTGTGTATTTACTAGATGTGCAGCTAGGTTGTGCTGGTTGTAGCACTTGTGATAACGTGAGAGGAGTTTTCTCTCTCGTAAAGCTGATCCAACAGAGAAGGTATCAATTATTGATCTTCTGGATTTAGACTCCACTGGACAGTATAGTAGTTTATTTCAGTCTCAGCTTATTCAGAAACTCCTCTATTTCTCCACACATTCGGTTCCTGTTTCTTTCTCTAATCCTCTCCAGAGTTCGAATGCTGTTCTTACGATAGGAAGATTGTTGCGGTATAGCTGCTGCCCTCATGTGATACTCTATCGACTTGTAGCTCTCCTTTCGAATGAAGTGTACGTATTTTGCATAGTAGTTGTAAAGCATCTGTTCCCCTTCAGGATCCAGATCACTTTCCAGCAGTTCCTCATATATCTGGTCAGCATTAACTTGCTGATGGGACTCTGCATATATGTTTGCAAGAGATATTTTTCTTTTCAGTGAAGAAAGAGGGTAAAGAGTAATCACTTCCCTATAGAGACTGATAGCTCTGTTGATCATGCTGTGCTCCAGGGGATTGTCCCTGTGTAAAAAGATCCTCTTTTTGTAGCAGATTGCAGCACACCTCTTCAGATAACGCTCATCTGGATGTCTTTCCAGAGCCTCCTCTGCCAAATCAATGGCCTCATCCATAGATACATAGATTCTGTATAGCCTTAGTAATGGCTTTAGACCACTGTAGCTGCTGATGGGCTTTCTTAAAACCCTTCTGGTTAACTCACGTGCTTCACTTTCAATTTTTTTCCCTTTCTTAGCACATTGCTCAAGGTACAAAGCAGCAAGGTACAAGTTCTCTGGGTCATGTTCCTTGGCGATCTTCATTTTCTCCAAGATGTCAGCCCCCAGCTCTTTGTTGCTGTGACTAAGAGCATTCTCTAACCCTATGACATGGCTGGTGTGCCACTCCACCATGTCTGGCTGCATCCTAATGGCTCTCTGGAAGTAATCTGTAGCCAACTGCTTTTGTTCTGAGCTGAACTTCATCAGGGTCCAGGCTTTTTCAGCACAGATCTCTGGATGGAGCTCATCCTGAGATGGAGATGGATATTCATTCATCAGGGCATCGACCTTTGACAGGTAAGCCTGACTCTCTGCTTGTTCTCCCAGGTGGTGGTGCAGCCAAGCCAGGTTCCCATAGTTCACAACTAACCAGGGACCTTCATCTGAGACGGTGTTTCTCATCTGGCGGAAGGCCTCTGCAGCCCTGCCAAAGAAACGCTGAGCGTCATCGGTGAACCCCAGCTGGTAGTGGATGTACCCTTGCAGGTTGTAAATATGACCCAGCCAGCTGTATCCCTCCTCAGTGCCAATGTCCTCCAGCTTGTCCCTGAGGCGGAAAAGTTTGGACCTGCTAGGGTCCAGATCCCAGGTGAAGTGGCACTGCAGGGCCTCCAGTTTGGACTCCAGTGTTCTTTGACTCTGAGCAGCACTGGCAGAGATTAGAAATGACAAATGCCAAATTACATATGCAGTATGGTCATATAATGTGCCCTGTGGTGTGCTATGTCACTGATGATCACTGTAATAACCCTTGTGTAGAGGAAATAAGGAAGGAACAATGAATGGACATGAAGGAAGATGTGTGTCAGAGATTAAGGAAGGATTAAGACAAAACAAGAAAAAGAAGAGAATAAAGATAAAAAAAAGTCATGAATTAATGAGTGGAAAGGACATAAGGAAGGCGTTAATAGGGGAGGAAGCAGATGAAGAAAGGAGGAGAAAGCAATACAAAGCAGTGAAAACGCAGTGAGGACTAAAATGTAGGTAGGAAAGAAGAAACAGACTAAGCGACAATTAATGGATGAAAGAGAAATAAGGAGTGAATGAAGCACAAATGTATCAGAAAGGGCAAAACGGGGGAAGAACTGAAGAGAATCAGGAAATAAAGAAGGAAGAAAAGAAGGAAAGGAGGAAGAGAACAAAAGACGGAAACAGTGAGTCACAATGAATGGACAAATTAATAGGAAATAAAGGAGAGTATGAGAAGAATCAGACAGAAGACAGAAAAAAGCAAGAAGGAAAAGAGGAAGGAAGGGAATAAATGGGAATGAGGGGGAAACTGGAGAAACAGCTGAAAGGGACGAAAGACAGTAGAAAGGAAAGAAGAGAAACAAAATAGGCAATAAACTAAAGAAAATAAAGGAATAAAAGGCACGAGGAAAAATAAAGATAGAAAAGCAGAGAAGAATAACATGCAAAAGCAGATACTCACTTCATCATCCAGCTGTAGTTTGCTAAATATGAGTCTCTGGTTTCTGATCTTTACACTAAGTACGCCGCTGCTTTGGGTGCAGCACCATAAAATCAGTAATGGTTAACTTGTTTTATGCTGTAAATGATGTAATGTTGAACACTATGGACTCTGTGGACTTCCTTTTCCCAGGAATAGAAACCTAGGCTAATTAGCTGGACAAATCAGTCAAATTACTTGGTCTAACATCAGAATGAACAACGTGTCTATACAACGAAGCTGAGGGACTCATGCACATTATATTTCACTGTGTGTCACCATATGATGTTCATTTACAACACAACAATTATCAAGAATAACAGAGAGAGCATTTGGTAACGTGACTCACCAGCTAGCAGTTCTCAATAGAGCTCGTAAGTTGCGTGTTTCCGTTTCCGGTACTTGGGACTTTAAACATCGATTTCTCATAATGTATTTCAATGGCTAGGTGAAAATTATTTTCTGGTCCCGTTTGAATTGTGCCATGAATTTCACATACGTTGTTTGTGAATTTTTAATATATTTTTTCATGCAAAGAAGGCTACAATTTAGCGGGAAGAAGTTTGATACTGTTAGGTTTTGTGGAGTACAGCTCTTCGCTGCTCTCAACGCGTATGATATATAACACCACTCGCACTCAGAACATGGCTGTAGCCGTTTCTCAATATGCGTTCTTGTGCGGACTTTTGTTCTTGCGGACTTGTGACACGTCATCAGTCACAGCCCAAGTACTGCTCCAATTCAAAGTTCACATCCAGCCAAGTTCTGTCCAAATGCCCGGATGTGTTCTCGCCACGCCCCTTTTACCGGGATGCATGGGAGCAGTGTGGACTTCAGACAGCCAGGTATCCCAGCATGCATTTCACATCAATCATCGGAAATGGTGAGTGAGGGAAAGGCGCACAATTGTAAGCCATAATTACCGATATGTTACTGTTGTTTTGTCACGGAACGTAGTGTTTTCATGCGTAGTTTAAACTTCAGACCCGTGGTCGATGTTTTAATATAGAGCCCAGCTGAATGTGACTGCGGTCCGCTAGATGACAGCGGTGTCAGCGCTCATAGATAATAAACGTGTGTATGAGCGCTCAGGCTGCCCCAGAGAGCAGCCTCTCTCGGGTAGTCCATTTGAAATTCGTGGCTGATATCTCTGTAGTGGTTAAATATGAAATGTAATTCCTCTGGGGTATGTCTAATGGGCAACATTCAGTCTCAGTATATAAGATATATTATTATATTGTTAATGTTGTAACATTGTAAATGTTATTGTTTTTTGTATGTATTCTTATTTATGTGTTTTACCATTCAATAATGATTTTAAGAATTTATTGTAATTAATTTATTGTATTTAAAGATTAATTGTATTTATTGTAGTATTTATTCAACAGCATTTTAAATATTGATTATCTGATATGAATTGTATACCTGCATGATGTCTGAAGTGTGGCTGAATAAAATTTTCCTCTTCACATCTGACCTGTTTGATCCCATTTATATTGGTGAGGACAGACTAAATGACAAACTGCTGTCAGTATAATCCAGTACAGTTCAACAGCACCACAATCTACAACTCTACAACAAATCTACAACACTTAATGTCAGACTGAATATTAAACTGCTGTTGTTTGTTCTAGGTGTATCAAGTAAACTGTCAAGTCTCCATAAAAATGTAGACAGAAAGCATAATGATGAGACAAAACTAACAGTAACTAAGTATATTTACTCAAGTAGCTACTGTAGCCTACTTAAGTACAAATTTGATGTACTTTGGGTATTTCCATTTACTGAGAGGGAAATACTGTACATTCTATTTATTTGATAGTTATAGTTACTTTTCAGATAGTTTGTTTTATACCTTGTAAGTTTCATATTTACAAGTTGCTGTGCGTTGTTATAGATTAGACTAGTATCCTAGTGAAAGGTGTTAAAATTAGGCCTATATGTCTATGGAAGGAACGGGCAGAGCAAGTTCACATCCGGGCATTTGGACTGTACTTGGCTGGATGCGGACTTTGAATTGGAATAGCGCTTGGGCTGCGACTAATTTCACAAGTCCGCAAGAACACAAGTACAAGCAAGAACACAGAAGCGTGAGCCCCGCTGAGTAACGCAAATTACGTCCCCCGGAAAACAAAGGATATGCCATTCACCACAGTTCACCACAATAAATAAAAAAAATATGTATATAAATGAATGCCAAAATTATATTGGTTACATTTCCATAAACATTTTCCTCCGAACAAACGAGTTAATTGCTACAAAACATAATTTTACAAACAAGACACAATAATAACGCAGTTATAATGTGATCCTGAAAGTGTGCAGGAACATACTATTTAACAGAGGAAAATGATACAACCCTGTTTTGCTAATTAAACTCATTTATTGGAGACAGCTGTGCATTGTGCCAAGACAATATGTGCACAATAGCGTGCACTAGGGCCCTTCGCAATAGTGTGCACTGGGGCCCGTCATCCTTATGCCACCACTGAAGTTAAAAGTATAATCAAATCAGAAATGATTAAGAAATGGCAGGAGGAATGGAACAGGGAAACTGAAGGTAGGCTCTACTTTACTACAGTATCCAAAAGAAAGTAAGAGAAATGAGAGAAACCAGCACAACTGAACAAGAAGATATAATTTGGAGGATAACATTTGGACACACTGGTCTTAATAATAACCTTGGGTTTATTGGTAAACAGGAAACTGGGAAAAGAGAAATATTACATTTTCACATTTTGGGAAAAGACAGGCATTAGCAGAAGAATACAAGCATAAGGCCGCTCCGATCCACACAGTCCAGACGGTGGCGGTAGTGCGCATAAAAGCTGTTTGCCAACCGCCATTAAACATCAGAGGGAAATAATGGTGACGTCATTTATTCTGCGACACAAGTACCGTGCAGGTAGCATGTAGCAGCTGCAGATTCAAGCGACTTTTCTGGATCTTGCTGCCTGCTACGAGATTAAAACGATAATGCGAGGTTCACTGACGACCCTGTGAGTAGTAACGGTAATATCCCAGCAGAAAAGAGGCGTCTGGAGTGTAAAAAACGAGCCAAGGGGCCAGAAACACCTAGTAACTTCGCTTGTGTTAAAGATAGTCAGCATGCTATCGTTAGCTGGAATTTGTGATTGTTTAACTTTATTTCTGACCCGTGTCGTGCTTTACTCGTGTTTCTTTTCAGATGACGATGTGACAGCCAGCCGTGTCTCGGTGGTGTTGTTGCGGAGCAGTGCATGTCCCGTCCGCAGGAGGTGGAGGAGGGCAGGCGGAGGGTCTGAGCTCTGTGTCGGTGTCCGGGATGGAGACCTGGACCCCCAATCCCCGAGCTAAGCCTTTTATCCCCCGCCAGCAAAGAAGCCTGTACCTCACCTGGAAGTACAAATTAACCAACAAGAGGACGATTCGTCGGTTCTGTCAGGTCAGTAAGAAAAACAACTACTTGTCTTATGAAGATGAAGTGGTTGTGGATGTGTGGTGCAGCAGCAGCAGCGTAGAAAAGTCCCATTGACTTATGCACACCCTGCTCTTCAAACTAAATTTAAAACTCTTTATCTAAAGTTTACACAATTTTTTACCCATGTCTTGTATTCACCAAACAGTTGTAGCTCACATTACTAAGGTTTCAATTGCACAAAATGGAAACTCTCCTTAGGAAATGTTGCCTTGTCTGTTCAAAGTAAAAGTTGCAAGACACATTGCTTCTTCCAACTGTTTATTATTTATGAGGATGGAGGGAGATGGTGCAAAAAAGAGGGAGGCAAAAAAGAGGGAGGCATGTCACATCATTTACTAAGCACCGGGGAAGGACGTACATTTTTTTTTAATTTTGGCTTTGGGAAGGGACACACAACTTTAAATAGGTCTGTCTTGTATTGATTAGGCCTAGATGTTAATTTTTAAAGAAAACATGCATGTTTGGAAGGCATGTATTCTTTAAATTATTGCCAAAATTACACAATTTATCATAAATATCAAAATAAGAAATTACCATTGGTTTTTCAAATATCATCATGTGAACACATCATGTGCAACAAATGCTTCCGTCAGAAAAAAAAACAACACCAAAGCTGAGCTCAAAATAGTGATGGCCCCTTTCACCAAAATCACTTTATTCTACGTCTCGTGTAAAATTTGGCCAAAACCATTTACACAAACTCTCCAGCATGAACAACAAGAGTGATAAGCTGAGAGGTTTTTAAACTCCAGGATTTTGTCTTCAGCTTGTAACTTTATTCCACAGGCTGGCGCTGTGTTGTTTCTGCTGATAACAGTCATAGTCAACATTAAACTCATCTTGGACACAAGAAGAGTAGCGAATGAGGATGCAGCAGCTCAAGAATATGGTGAGAAACATGTCCAGTGCTCTTTCTGTTCACATTGTTTCTTTTACATTTAGACTAGCACAACCACTGTAAGCTGGGCAAAATATTCAGGATGTTTAACAGGATGTAATAGAGGCTAACACTAGGCTAAAATATGACTATGACATTCTATAATGATCACATAACACAAGTGTTGTGAAAATAGTGACTGATGGTGACCTTAAATTGCTGAATAATTAAAGGTCCAGTGTGTAGGATTTGCTGGGGATATATTGGCAGAAATTGATATATTGTAATAAGTATGTTGTCATCAGCGTATAATCACCTGAAAATAAGAAGTTGTGTTTGTTACCCCAGAAGGAGCTGTTTATACCTACATAGGGAGCGTGTCATTGTCCACAGAGATTGCCATGTTGCACTGTGATGTTTCTACAGTAGCCCAGAACAGACAAACAAATTACTGGCTCTAGATAGGGCCACTCATGTTTTCATGTCGGCTACTGCAGTTAGCAGTCCCTCCGTGACAAGCATCCTCAGATTTTTTTTTTTTTTTAAAAAACTGCTTTATTCATTGTTTTTACTGGTTTAAATCACTGGGCCCAGGGTCACCAGGTTCGTTTTGGAGAGGAAGAGACCTCTGTTATCAACAAAAAAAGATGAGCACACATTAGCGGGCGCTGGGCTAGCAGACTGTCTGCAATGTGGCAAACAGCTCAAGAGAAGCACTGATTTTTAATGTGAAAGTGCTTTATTCAGTGTTTTTGCCAGTTTATAATCACCGGGTGTGTTTGTTTTGGAGAGGAAGAGACCTCTGTGGATAATTATGCTTCTGGTAAAAATCTCTTGAATAATGAACTCTGTAGGAATTCTAACCAGGAGAAGTTTCAGCTGGTTGCAATCTGCAATCCTCACCACTAAATGCCACTAACTTTCCCTAAATCTTACACACTGTTCCTTTAAATAGGGTGACATTGTGTTTTGATAGCAGACATTGGTGGCACATAGTTTATAGGCATCTTTCAGAATTGACTTTTCACGAGGCTTTTGTCCATGGTTGACCTTTCAGGTTTACAGAATTTGATTGGCCGTAGAAATCAGAGCAGCAGTTGGTATACTGATAAGATCTGTAGGGAAAAATACAGCCTGTCACAGGTTACAGCGTGATGATTAGAGGAGAAATGGCAGAGCATAAAGGTCCAGGTGGAAAAAAAAAATCAATTGTTTAGGATTTTGCTAAAAGAGAGAAATCACCTGTTGATGTATATATGTAGATCTCAGGGAACATTTTTGTATTTGAGAAACTTTTTACATGTGTAATTATGGTAGATTTTATTTTGTTGAACTATTAATATTGTGTACAGAATCTGAATCTCACATTTCTCCTTTTTAGAGGACACGATACCCAACATGGAGACACCACGCAGGCCGGCTAATGGACGCAAGGTCCTGGACATTGAAGTGTACTCCAGCCGCTCCAAGGTCTACGTGGCAGTGGACGGCACCACTGTGAGTTAAGATGAAATAATGTTTCTTTAGGCATAACAAAATGTCCAACAGATCATATCTTTATTTTGTTTATCTCCTGCAGGTGTTGGAGGACGATATGCGGGAGCAGGGCAGAGGCATTCATGTGATTGTTCTCAACCAGGCAACTGTAAGAATTGACTGTATATTCTTTATCAAGTTAACAAATAACTTTTCTTTGATTTCTGTTTTATAGCTTTTATTTTTTTGTACCTGTAGTCGATACTTCTTAACCCATTCCTCCCACTGATGGGCTGTGCTCATAATATTCCTGATGGTGCTGCAAAATCCAACAAACAGCAGGCACTGAATTAATGACGTGTGTTTCTGTCTTGTGCAACTGAAGGGAATTTTTTTCTTTAATGAGAGAAAATTATAAACACAGAGCCAACAGAAATCTCTTTTTAAATGAAATGAGGTCAGATCACTCAGATAAATCCCTTACTGTGTGTTTGTCTCAGGGTCATGTCATGGCCAAGAGGATATTTGACACCTACTCTCCCCACGAGGACGAAGCCATGATCCTCTTCCTCAACATGGTGACCCGGGGCCGAGTCCTCATCTTCACCATAAAGGTTAGCCACTGCCGCTGTCTCAATGCTGGATCAGATATCAGTTATTCATATGATATTCATGCATTATTCAGACAGGCAACAAAGTAAAAGACGATGTGTTTGTGTCCTGCAGGATGAGGGCACGTTCCACCTGAAGGATGCTGCTAAGAACCTGCTGAAGAGTCTGGGCAGCCAGGTGTCCCTCAACCTCAGCTGGAGGGACATGTGGACTCTGGTGGTGAAGAAAGGAGGTAGAGGAGCAAACTTTCATCCAATATTATTTATTATGCAGTAACAATTATTATTATTATTATTAGTTCTAGGGATACACCGATTTATCGGCTGGCTGACTGTCATCCGCCCATCAGCAAATTAGACAACATTCAGCGATAGCAGTGGCTAATGTTTTTCATTGTGTCACATCAATTTTGTATATGTTTAAAAGCAGGGCTTCCGACTCACAGCCTAAAACTCAAATTAATGAGCAGATACAAGAGGAATACAATCACTGTTTTGGCAAAGGGCTCTGTGATCTCACTGTTGTGTGACAAGATGGCCTCCGGGAGACAATGGAAAATGTATTTGGGATGAACAGAGGTCTTCCCCGGGGCGCCTTCGAAACAAAAGGACGCAGTAAACTCACTAATGTCACGTCAGAGGACGCACCGCATTTCTTCCCTGATAATGCTACATTGTGAACAACAAATCTGTGCTAAAATCAGCAGAGGGGAGAGCTAATTTATGTTAGCTGTTAGCAGCTGGTGGCCGCAAATAACAGCTCATGGCAGTTGCATTGAGTTACATTATGATGCATTCAACCTCTATTCAGTAAAATTGAGTATTTGGTGAAGGTAAATTCTAACATTTTTATGTGTTTTGGGGGGCATCGTTTGGGTCTTTTCCGATACTGGTGCTGAAACAGTACCTTTTATGTGGAGCAGGTGTGAAAACAGTGCTTCAACCGATCATTTAAACAACAGTGAGCAATGTGAATAGTTAACAGTGATTATTCACACTTTTTTATCACAGGTTTAAAATTGCATTATTTTGCATTTCAAAACAGCTAATGATAGAGAGAGCAGGTCAACAGTATATGCCACATAGAAGTGGTATACATCATCTGAAAGCTGGAAATCTGAAGATTAATTTGAGATGCAGCTCAGCACTGTGTGTCAAGGTTTTCTAGTCATAAATCTGTATTAAAGCAACTCTTACCTTTTTTGCATTTCACACAGCACTTAGAAAAAATTTGAACATCCACAACTCCCCCCTCCTCCATTACATCCTCATTACGTCTATGATAGACGTAGGCGTTGGCAAGGTAACGTTAGATATACAGAAGAGGAGAGCAAGTGTACGTAACTTCACAAACGCAACCCCGGAGGTTGATACCAATAGAGCCCATTTTCATACAGTTATCTTGAGGTGAGAGGTTAAGGGACCTCTTTGAAAGTGCCTAACAACACCAACTGCTGTTTCCAGCTGGGGAAATAAACACTTTAGTGGACACACAGCCTTATTAAAGAAAAGTGAAGTAGCAAATCACCTGAATACTGTGACTAACTGCGTAGCCGTCTTGCAAATAATTCCTTTTTTTTCTAGCTATTATGGATAATGTGTCACCTGCATGCTAACAAAGAGCCTAATTGTCTCTGCACTGAAACTTCAATGCCCAAAAAGTAGTATTCTGGACAGCCCTTATGTCTGTTCAGAAACTCCACAGACACCAGTGAAGAGCTTTCTTAATCCACACAGATGATTTAAAACCAGACTGAGTTTGTTCTAAGTGCCCTGCATGCTTAGTTTTTTCTAATTTATGGTTTTCAGAAAAGCCTGTAATCTTCAGGCTATTATGTTTAATTTTAAAATTTAGTGTCTGAAAACCTAACGCAGCAAGAACAGGATTTATTTTTTTTAAGATATTTTTATGGGCATTTTTGCCTTTTAATTGATAGGATAGTGAAGTGTGAAGGGGGGAGAGAGAGAGGGAGAGACATGCAGCAAAGGGCCACAGGCTGGAGTTGAACCCGGGCCGCTGCGGCAACAGCCTTGTACATGGGGCGCCTGCTCTACCACTAAGCCACCGACGCCCCAAGAGCAGGAATTTTGAGGGACAGTATATGTCATATAATACAAGTCATATTTACTTGTGGTTCAGATATGTCTCACTGCAGTTGTGTTTCAGTAAAGCTTCTCATGTTAGTTATTGATAATTAACTTGAAAATGATGAAGCTCATGATGCTATTACTCAGACGAAAGTGTCTGGATTGTATTTCATTATCTTGCTGGTGCTAGTAGCAACAAACCCACACCATCGCAGACACTGTATTCATTTATTTATTTATTTACATGCTGTGCTGTTGTCAGCCGAAAAGCCCATTTTGGCCACAGGACAAGACACGCTCTCCCCTCCAGTTTACCAGTACACTTTACATTGGAGTCTGTTTGCATTGTTCACATGTAGTCAGCGAGAAAAAGGGAGGAATAAGAGCTCAGTTAAGGGAGTCAGGTGAGGATTAAGAGAGATTTTACAATAAGTTTAATCAACTAATGATGCTTGCTTTATGTCAATACCTGTTTTGACCTGCTGGCTGTGTGTGTGTGTGTGTGTGTGTGTGTGTGTGTGTGTGTGTGTGTGTGTGTGTGTGTGTGTGTGTGCGCGTGCGTGTCGTTCCAGGTCAGGTGTATGGAGAGAAGCACTCAAAGTCTCCAGCTCTGTCCACCTGGGGAGACCCGGTGTTGCTGAAGACTGAGGTGCAGCTCACTGCCTCTGAAGGTAACAAACAGTCCCAGCATGCTTGTAAAAGTGTCTAATTGCTCATATTGTGATGCACCTTGATGGCCAAAAGCTAACATAACCTTAAATCTAAAGCACTTAAGATGTCTAACAAACTGAATGTGATCCTGTATCCTGCAGAGGCAGAGTGCCACTGGGCAGACACCGAGCTCAACAGGAGGAGAAAGCTCTTCTGCAGCAAAGTGGAAGGATACGGCAGCATCTGCAGCTGCAAAGACCCGGCGCCCATCGAGTTCAACCCTGACCCTGTAAGACACACAGCAGGACTCTTTACTTAACTGTTAGATGTTTTTTTTTCATTGAGCTGCACATGATAGAGAGGGGAGCCAAGCTGGACTTAGTTTCGATTTTTGAGTTTTACACAACCACATGAAAAGCATTTTTGGTAGAACCCTTTCAAATTAATTTACTCTTTGCAGGGTATTTCATAGCTGCTCAAAAAACTGTTAAAGTTTTAGCTCAGAATTTTTTGGAAATGTGCCTATTTGCTTCCTAATGGAGTGCTAGCAGACAGTATTTTTGAACAGAGCAAACACTGTGGATTTTATCCACAAAGAGTTGTACCCCTTTTCCACCAAAATTAGCACGCACTAAAAATAAGCAAGAGACTCCTCTCCCATTGCCAGCAGACAAGTGTGCCTTTTTCTTTTTCTGGTGTCTCATGTTTGGCGTCATGAACACAGTGACTGACAGTGACTCAACATTTTTTTCTCTCCAGCTGCCCAACAATAACGTTATTAATGTCCCAGTGGCTGTCATAGCAGGGAACAGACCCAACTATCTCTACAGGTAAGATCTGAAAACTAATGATGTAACTGATCAAGATGATTATTAAGTTTTTTTTGTTTTGTTTTTTCTAAGAAAGAAAGCAGCAACAATGGCAGAAATTGTTCCAAAGAGTCAAGATGTTTTTAAATTTATCATGCAGTACTCTGTTTCCTACACACACAGTAAAGTGGAGGTTACACAGATAAACTGCATTTCAACATCTCTGCCTTTTATCCATGAAGAAATTAGGCTTACGGACAGGAAATACTTCCATACATAAAATACATAGCACCACCTATTGTTAAATTAGAAAAAGTAAATTGCACTCATTCCTCTCTTTACGCCTGCTTTTCATGTGTTTCCAGGATGCTGAGGTCGCTTCTTTCAGCTCACGGCGTCAACCCGCAGATGATCACTGTCTTCATCGATGGATATTATGAGGTACCAGAATTTTGTTTCCTCTCTCTCACATCATAACTGTCCATGGTGCCCCTGAGTACACAATATAAGTACAAACACCATGGCACTATGGTTGTAAATCCTCCGTTCTTTATTGAAGATGGTCAGAAGTGTTCAGAAGAGCTTTTGTTGCCCTGAATACTTCAAGAGGCCTACTATGCTCCTTTTTGGGTTCATAGTTGTATTTAAGGTTTCTGCTGGAACATGTTTACATGCTTTAATGTTCAAAAACACTTTATTTTCCTCATACTGTCTGTGCTGGAACACTTGTATTTATCTCTTTCAGAGAAGGCTCCATTTTACTGCATATGCCTTTAAGCCAAGTGATTGCAAACATGAAATGGCTGTAATGGCAACTGCGGCACTTTCTATCATGAAAAATTCTCAGTGAAAGTTTCTGAACAAAACCAGACATGTTTCAGCAGGAATATAATCTGAAATCAAGGAGAAATCTACATAATCAGCAACCAAGATTACATGTTTCCCTGAAGTTAGCATGTAACTACATATACACTAGAAGTGTCCATGCAGTAGGGGAATGACTATGACAGAATAGCAGCACTTTGTACCATAATAAAATCACCAATACAAGCTTCAGAACAGCCGGACATGTTCCAGGAATTTGATATGATGGGATTTACAACATTGACAACCAAGTTTCCAATGTTATCCTAGTGTTATCTTGTAGCTTCCTGTAACAGTGCAGGCTATGTAATGTAAACACTTGCAGTTGCGTGCCAAGATGACTATATCAAGAAATCGGGCATACTGTTGCCAGCGTAGAAAAATTGTTGGAAATGGAATGTTCAGAATCATAGAAAATGTGAGATTTTTGCTCACAGAGATTACTACTACACACATTTACCTCATTATTTGAAACATGGGCCATATTTAATATGAACATCCTTCATTGTTACACAATTTAAAAGACATAAAGTGTCTGATTTAATTCTGTAGACAATGTTAAACATCAACACTTTTGAAATAATTGATCTATTCTATATAGCAAAAAGTGTGTAAATGCCTTTGTCCATATACGTTTGTGTATTTTGTTACTATGTTCTGGGGCTGTTTGGATGACTGCACCTGTGGACCTAAGAAGACATTACTTGACCTGTATGAATCTAGTTCACCTTAAGGGGAGAAAGAGGGGGGTTGTTATTTCACATGCCAAAAGCCATTAGGGTGAGTTTCAGAACAGATAAAAAAAAATTGTGCTTTATTTGATACTTTACTTCAAGAAATAAAACCTCTTTTTTGTTGTTTGTTTTTACTTGTCCGTACTCGTACTCGTCGTCCTCCGTTTATCCGGGTCCGGGTCGCAGGGGCAGCAGCCTCAGCAAAGAAGCCCAGACAGTCCTCTCCCCAGCCACTTCCGTCAGCTCTTCCGCGGGAACCCCGAGGCGTTCCCAGGCCAGCCGGGTGATGTAATCCCTCCAGCGTGTTCTGGGGCGGTCCCGAGGTCTCCTCCCGGTTGGACATGCCCGAAACACCTCCCAAGGGAGGCGTCCGGAAGGCATCCTTACCAGATGCCCGAACCACCTCAACTGGCTCCTTACCCTATCCCTAAGGCTGACCCCAGCCACCCTGCGGAGGAAACTCATTTCGGCCGCTTGTGCTCGCAATCTCATTCTTTCGGTCACTACCCAGAGCTCGTGACCATAGGTGAGGGTTGGAACGTAGATCGACCGGTAAATCGAGAGCTTCGCTTTCTGGCTCAGCTCCCTCTTCACCACAACGGACCAGTTAAGCGCCTGCATCACTGCTGACGCCGCCCCAATCCACCTGTCAATCTCCCGCTCCATCCTACCCTCACTCGTGAACAAGATCCTGAGATACTTAAACTCCTCCACCTGAGGCCCCCCCCCCCCCCCGACCTGGAGTGGGCAATCCACCCTTTTCCGGCTGAGGACCATGGCCTCAGACTTGGAGGTGCTGATTCTCATCCCAGCCGCTTCATACTCGGCTGCGAACCGCCCCAGCGAGAGCTGGAGGTCACTGATCGATGGAGCTAGGAGGACCACGTCATCCGCAAAAAGCAGGGACGAGATCCTCCCATCACTGAACCTGTTTGTTTTTTCAATTAAAAATAAATGTCTCAACTGTTAAATGTCTGAAATACAAGCAGACATACAGGAATGTCAAATCAAGTCAAGAAGTGGCAGAATTTTGATTTACATCAGGACAGTCAATGCTAAATTTAGTAGTTGACTATTTTTTACAGTTGCCACCAAACAGAGGTTCAGTAGTTAGCAATAGCCATGTGAGGCTATGTTGCTATATGAGGCTATGTCAGTGTGACCCCACTGATCAGAAGAGATGAGATGATTTCAGGCTCTGATAACACTCTAATCAGTTTATTATCATTATCTAGTACTATTTTGTTGTTTGCCTTCCTGTGACACTATATCCCCGAGTGGCTCTACCTACCACTCATACATTTTTGTGTGTTTTCAATCCAGGAGCCTATGGATGTCGTAGAGCTGTTTGGACTGAAGGGAGTTCAGCACACACCAATCAGCATCAAGAATGCCAGAGTGTCCCAGGTAAACAGCTGTTAGCTCCTCATTTAAGGGTCAGAATTCACCTCACTTAAAGAAAAACTGCTTTATAAAAGTAGACAAATCACAAGCCATTGTCACCTGGATTTTATGTTTCCACTGTGTGCATCACTCAGTCATATCCATCCAACTGTCATATCCATGAAAATGTTTGGAGGTTCAGCCCTATTCAAGTCATTGAAGGGATACTTTGCCAATTTTCAACCAGCTTTGTATTAAAACAGTGTGTGTAGTATATGTAAATGAACGTGGTCAACTTCCCTCCATCTAACCAGTGCCCAGATATCCCACCTCACCGGGGATGACGTAAATTATGACATCCGGCAGAGTTTCGCTGGCTCTTGGGCTGTTGCTTGAACTACAGGCTGTACTTACGCACGCCACCCATGCCTCCACTGTGGACACAGAGAGTATAGAAGCAGGTTGAGAGACAGACCTGCCACCCTCCCTCTCTCTCAAACTCGGACTGAAATCCGATCAAATGGTAGAACGAGGCAGTGCTGATCGAATATATATCAAGATTATGTTACTACACTGCCTATTTGTTGCTTAAAATGTTTCTAGAAACATATTTTAGTGTTGTGTTTCGCTGTAATAGTGAGATTTTGTAAACAGGAAGTAGGTGCCATATTGTTTCCTGCACAGTGAGAACAGAGGCTGGAAAAAACTGAGATCAAATGGTAGAACTAGGCAGCGGTGATCAAATATAAACCCAAGATTCTGTCACTGAGTTGCATAGTTCTAGCCTTAAAGGGATAGTGCACCCAAAAATGAAAATTCAGCCATTATCTACTCACCCATATGCCGAGGGAGGCTTAGGTGAAGTTTCAGAGTCCTCACATCCCCTGCGGAGATCCCAGGGGAGAGTGGGTAGCAGCACAACTCTACCTAATGCAGGCTGACGGCCCAATTTTATTTAAAGGCCATCTTTCCAGCAGTGAAGTACCTCTTTAAAGGAACTAGTACCTCTAGCCGTTTTGCTTTTTTACATTTTTTTTTTCTATTGAAAAAAGTCTTTGTTCTCTGTCGTAGCACTACAAGGCGAGTCTGACTGCAACCTTCAACCTTCATCCAGTGAGTACTTCAGTTTCCTTTTGTCAAGACAAACAACAAAAGTTATTATTTTATGTAGCTGATGAATGAGCAGAGATGTGTGGAGTTCAAGTGATACTCAAACCTAAAATATGTTCAGTGTCAAGCACTCAGACTCTAAAGGAGGCTGTAAAACGAGGGTGTCATTTTTTAATTTGTCTTTTTTAATGAAGAATAACAGATTATTGACTTTATATATTGTATTATCATTAGTCAGTTTTTGCATTGATTGTAACTCTCAGATAACACTCAACTTAGTCACAATGGCACTGACCCAGCATGCATTATTTTCAGGAGGCCAATTTTGCCATCGTCCTTGAAGAAGACCTGGATATCTCCATTGACTTCTTCAGGTACGTCTTAACAGCATGCACAAACACTCCTAAAGGTAACTAAGTAATTATTATATATGTTATTAGAGTTGAAATAAGTCAACTTATAAGTGAGTTGATGCGCAACATTAATTAGCGGCTATTTTAATGATTTGTTTATTGTTTCAGTCATCAAGCAAAAATGCCAAATATTTGCAAATGTGATTATTTAAGTTTTTACTCTTCTGACTTTTTATAGAAAAAAAATCACATTGGAAAAAAAATCAGTTGTCAATGGATAATAAAAATAATTAGTTGCAGCCTGATATGAGTTCTCTATGTGTTACATTGCAAAGATTTTTGTCACTTTGTAAAAACTGAAATAAATGCCAAGACTATTTGTGAATATACCTTAGCAGATGTGTCATTTAATTGTTCACTGAAAACAGATCTTGTTTTCAGTGTTGACGTGTAGACAGAGAAACGAGTTTTTTGGACGTATATTAGAGACGTCAGAGTGCGCCATTATCTCCTTAGTGAGGCGTGACAAATGAGGCAACATTATGTGCAATAACGGACGTGACCAAAATAGTGCTGGCTCTAACCTTCAGGACTGTATACATGTTTTACACATGTGCAGTTCCTTTTCCACTAATGAGGAACAGAGATGTCAGGATGTGTGACGGAGGCCATTGTTACAGGTTGCCTTCTGGTAATAGTTTTTTTTCTCAGGCGTCTGATTGGCCAACATCTTGTTCCTTTTCTTTGAGTGGTTTTAGAGTTAAGGTTGGTGTGGCATGCACCTGACAGCTCTTCAGTTGTGTTTTGCATTTTCATTTGGACAGAGATTTTTTATGAAATTGTCACTGTGGACAGGAAGGTTTTTTTTTTTTTTTGAGAACGAAGGAGGGGAAAACCTGTTCTCAAAAATCCCATGTGTGCGTGGCCGAGGTCTATGTAACTTAAATAAAGGCATTTATTCTCATATTTTGTTCTATACCTGCACCATCGCCAAATTAAATGGGAAACTGAAATAAAAAAATTGGTCACAAGCCAAGTTATCAATGATCCAATCTGAACATTAAAGTAATGATCAAAGCAAAATTAACTGACTGTACAGAATCAAGCAGCTGTTCACTGCAACTCTTTAAAATGATTTTATTAGAGACATTAGAGGACATTTATACATTTTTTATTATCATTTATGGGGACATAAGCTATAATAAAAAGTTTATGTTGTGTTATATCGAGCCCAGTGCTGCCATGTTAAAGAACATGTTCTGGACTTCACAACCTCAGATTTAAGCATCAGAAGGGGTACAAACTTGTCATAATTTGGCATAAAGTGACCCCTCAGGATGGCTCAGGATTTCATTTCAATATTGCAGCATCACCCAAAAAGAGTGGTCAGGGGATGACGTTCTTCGCTAGGCCGATGTGGAAGTTAGCATCACACAGGTTCCCACGTCAAAAAGCCTAAGGGATTTCTCCTGTGGATTTTGGATTATTGTTGAAAATGAGCTCTGTAGCAAACAAATGTTTATGATACTTAAACATTTTCTATCTTCACAATGAACACTGCTTTTATGATGACTGAAGCCTAAATGTAAAAAGCTAACATTAAGATCACCACCATAACATGACTGTAAAGCTGTGTTCAGCGCGACTCAGCGTGTCCTGTAGTCCCATTAGCCACTTGTTTGCAACCACCTTTTTTAAGACACAAACAAGCTTCAAAGTTCACAAGTGGGGTATTTACTGACATATTTTATGTCGTAGAACAAAACGTGAAAGTCTCTTAAGCTTGTGTTAAACACAAACCTTGTTTCAAGGCGTTAAACCGAAAACCCATTTAAAAGATCCATTTACTTTGAGACGAGGGAACCGTGAGTGGTAAAATGCTAACTCTTTTCTCGGTCTTAGGACTCATTCCTGGGGCACTCTATATATCGGTTAGCGGAGCGAGACAAAAACACACTGGAAGATGAGTCCTTCTGATGAGTGTTATTTATTTTTATTAATTATTGACAATATGGCAGTATTTGAGTGCCTAAACTGTTACATTAAGAAATATGGCTCATAAGCCACTGTAGACAACAAGCCAAAATGGACATGCCTTATAATGATGTAGTGAAATGGAGCGCTTGATACAGTAGCCTGATTATGTCACCTGAGATGGAGGCAGATGCCAAGTTCACTGAAAATGGCAGAAGTTGAATTAATGTTACCTTGTGACAGTTTTTCTTTTAGTTGTAGTGCTTGTGAAATCAGTAAATAACATCATGTCTAAGCCCTGTCTTTTAATTGTAGTGGTAGGATTACATTAATTCGAGGTTGAGTTTTTCCCTGTAACTTAATACTGAAATCGCCTGGAAATCCACATTTAAAAAAAAAATCTTCCCAGTGGAGCATAAAGCTGAACCCCTAGGGATTCACATCATTGTCACCCTTTTCACACCTGATGAGTTTGCACCCCTGATCAGAAGGTCCATGATCCCTGTCAGCTGCAGAATCTCCACTAGGTGGCAGTAGATCCACAGTAATAAAACTGCCATCAGCTCTGTTAGAAACTCCAGTTTTTCCTTTGTTGGACAGACTCAGCTTTGAACTGTGCGTTTGCAGCTGTAAAAGCTCCAGCTTCCCTCCTGGGCTGACCGGCCCGTTTGAAGCGTCAACATCAAATAGTTCAGAAGCACTCACAGCCACCAGCTCACTCAGCTTTAGTGCCTGTTTGCTCCCTGAGAGAGCTGCAGGCTCTCAGTTTGAGAGCGGTGAAAACCAGAACCTGCCCTCCTGTCAACAGAGACAAGCCTGTTATCATTTGATGTTTACTCCTATAAACTCAGCTCTTCCAGGGTGTTTGGGAGTCTTTACAAAGTCCTGAATTCAATTTTACAAATATCAGACTGTAGGAATACTTTCAGACACTTGAATTCATGACTGATTCATGATTTCTTTCTCTTTTTTTGTCAGAATTGGTAGATTTCTTCAGCCAGTGTAATGCTTCTCTCTATTACAAAAAATAAATGCACAGACTTTATACTGACCTACTGCACATACTGTATCTGCAGGGTCCAGGTTAACCTGACTTCTAATGAGAACAGAGGAAACCTGTTCCCAATATAAGTAAATCTTAAAGCTACACTAACAGTGATATTGCCTCTGTGCACAAAGCAAGCTCCCAGTTTGCTGTTGAAGAACTTGACTGGTCTGAACAAAGCCCTGACCTCGAACCCATCCAACACCTATGGGAGGAAAACTAACTGAGAGACAGACTTGATCACCCAACGTCAGTGTGGGACCTCACTAATGCTCTTGTATCTGAACAGGAGCAAGTCCATTTATTTCAGGCCACATAGTTTAGGTATACATGTGTGATTCTAAGTTTGCCCCTCTCAGCAAATTGTAACTTTTCTGTGCTTTAGGTGTAAAACATGTCTCTTTGCCAGCTGTTCACAGGAACCTTCTGGCTTGATTGGTCCAGAAACTTAAATTTGTCTTGTTGTCTTAAAAAGGTCTCTATAAAATATTAAATAATCCTCCCTGATGTTTACTGTCACTGACTACACTTAGATACATGAAATATTTCAGGTTATACTCTTATTCTGAAAAAGATATAAAAGAATATTCCCACCAAGCTGTTTACAAGGCTAATGGAAATGAATGTTCCACTAATAGTCCCATGTACATGCAGCAATGCGTACTCCCATGAACATAAAACGCCTGTCAAAATATGGAAGTGGAACGAATGTAGCCACTTGTGACATTTTGCTTCTTCGTGTCAAAATAGGAATTTCTCCACTGGTGCTGGACTTGTCAGACCACACGAACACACCCTCCCTATTTCATTCCTTCAACCACCTTCTTGAAAAAATCAGTGTTGCAATTTTTGTGCATATCCAAAACCTTTTGATTTTTCACTTTCTTAATGTGCTGTATACATGTACAAAGAATGCTCCCGAATAAAAACCTGAAAAATATGGGTATACCCCGACGTCTTCATCGGAAAATGCTACATTTGGAATAAGGTCTAATGCAGAATATCCAAACATAATATGCTGTTTATAAGACCCCTATCAAATTTGGAATATTGTCATATTTGGGATAATAGTGCAGTATCAGTGTACATGTAAGTATAGTCACTGTCAGTTCACTGTCGCCCAGTGCAACATGGCAGTTTTTATAACTCCATAATACTAATGTACAGCTTGTGTATGTACTAATGTTGCTGTTGCTTCTCTTCTCCTGCAGTTTTCTGAGTCAGACCATCCACCTGTTGGATGAGGATGACAGCCTGTACTGTATCTCAGCCTGGAATGACCAGGTGAGTGCCGACTTCTTCATCTGCTCACACTGTACCTGCCCTTTGTTATAAAGATCCCACTCTCCTTCTGTCCTCCTCTTCTTCTTCTCTCTCTGTGAGATCTATATTTGGCTTATCTGTTTAAAAGTCTAAAAGGGCTTTTTTATCAGCATTTATCTGCTTATGTCCACTCTTTACTTGTTATACTCCTCCTCTTTTCATCCTACAGTCCTCTCTTTTACAGACAGCAACATGCATGACGTCCTACAGGAAATGATTATCCCCGACCCCTTGCAGTGTAGATGCAGGAGTGTGTGTCTTTCAGCAGTTAACGGTTGCATAACTGACGTCTGTCTGTCTTGGCATATCTGGAGGGTTTTAGGATTGTTTGACCTCAACAATAGAACATGTTATGAGGTGATCTATCAATTTTCTTTTAACCTGAGGGTGTAACTCAACAACATCCGCAGAGCGAGACACCAGAGGATCTCTTGTTTTGTTCCATGCTCCTAAACATAGAACAGCTGAAATAGTCCCCCAGTCTTTGTTTTTTCTCCTCATTTTATTTCCCCCCTGCCCTGATGTGGCCTTATTCTTTCTCTACTCACTGATTGACCTACAGGAACACTTGAGGCACACAAAAAAGTTGTGCATGTGTCACTGACAGCTGTTGTTGTCGTACAGGGCTATGAGCACACAGCAGAAGACCCAGCTTTGCTGTACAGGGTAGAGAGTATGCCCGGCCTGGGCTGGGTGCTAAAGAAGAGCCTCTACAAGGACGAGCTGGAGCCAAAGTGGCCGACACCTGAGAAGGTGCAGGATTTAAGAACCCTAACCAGTGCTTTGGATGTTTTTCTACACCTGTTACCAGTTGTTCATTTTTATACATCCCTGCTGATTATTTTACTAATCAAAACATATTAAGTCCAACTTGATATTCCACCACTTAACTGGTTTCACTTCATTTCTTTATATGACTAGGTAGTTCATCACCCTCATTTAATCAGCTTTATATGATTTATTTATATTTTGACGTTTACAGATAAAGTTAGAGACTAGCTGGTGAAGAAAGTGGAACATCTAGCAGCTTAAAGAGACATGATATATTTCTATGGAGTTAGTGAAGACCAAACTAGAGTGAAAATGTGCAGTAATTTGTACAGAGAGTATGCATAAAAGGTGTGTGTGTTGAAGATGTTACAAACTGTGGATGAACTCTGTGTGTGTTTACCTTGTAGCTGTGGGACTGGGACATGTGGATGCGAATGCCGGAGCAGAGGAAAGGCAGAGAGTGCATCATCCCCGACGTGTCCCGCTCGTACCACTTCGGCATCATCGGCCTCAACATGAACGGATACTTTCATGTGAGAGCTGAACTTTTTTTTAACAAAAGTCATTCTTAAAAAGGATCTACTGTACGAGTTACAACTGTAGCCCGAAGTGACACAATTCAGCAACAAAGCTTTCTATCAAGATCTTAAAAAACACTTACTTTGAAGCCCTAATAATTAAACATGATATGCTTTAAAACCATAAAATTGTGGTACAGTCTACAGCTAAATAAGTTTACCAACCTAAATCCAATTTAGTTAAATGTAACAAAGGAGCTTTGTGGTGTATGCTTCCTTTTAATCTTTAAGATGAAACACCATCTGATACACGATATAGTGTAAAGCTTATATGTGTAACTGAGCTCTTTTGTCTCATAGGAGGTATATTTCAAGAAACACAAGTTCAACACTGTTCCAAATGTGCAGCTGAAAAGCGTCGACAGGTGTGTAGACTCAGGCTATGTGCTTTCTGTTCACTGCTGTGCTGGTTTTCAAATCATGACTTCTTTAACTTTTTGTAAAAATAATATGGCATCACAGTGACAGTCTTGGTGTTCTTCACAGTTTAAAGAAAGACGCTTATGAAGTGGAGATCCAGAACCTACTGAAGTGAGTGAGATACAAAAACCGTGCTGAGCCTGGAGATGATTTATATTACATTAGAAGGTTGAAATAGATTTACATTATTTATGGTGTGTTTTTGATCTCAGGGAAGCAGAGGTGCTGGACCACACTAAGAACCCATGTGAGGACTCGTTCCTGCCAGACTCTGAGGGGAAGACCTATGTCATGTTCATTAAGATGGAGACAGAGACGGACACATCCACCTGGACAGAGCTCGCCAAGGTATTTAGTCAGTGCAGGAACACTGGTTGGTAGTGTTGCACGGTATACAGACAATAAGAAGGGTATTGCCATACCCTGCTGTTAAGAACAGTAAAATACCCAATCTTTAAGAATGACAGTGTTTTAATAAGAGCAGTATTTTCCTATGAGTTGCGTCGATGTGCGACAGCAGGACAGTGTGCATGTGTGCCTCATTCACAGGGCTCCACATTAACTAGCATTCGGGCAGGTGGGTTGTCAATACAGTTTTCCAATTGGGCAAGTGAAATAATAATACTAATAAGTGAATAAATGCGATGTCTAATATAATGTTATCTGAAAATAAAGTGCGTACTCTGTCACCAAATCTGAGCTTTTTCAGTGGAGCTGCGTGCACGAGTCTGTCTCACTGCCAAGTGTTGAAAAGGACTGATGAGAAAAATCTGACATACTGGACACAATACACGTTAACTGTTGGGTCAATGATGTCGAACAGACACAACATTACTAACATTAAATGTCTCTGGAACGCTGCATATGTGAGGCTTTTTTCCCAGAAGCCACCGCTAACCATCATACCGTTTTGAGGGCTACGGTGCGATCATTTCTCTTTTACAAGCTTTGTAATAAACTCCTGTGTTTTTTTTTTAACTTTTGTAAAATAATGCCATAATGATAAGTCCAAGACTGAACGTCTTCTGTGATTATTTATCAATTTTCAGTGTTGAAAACAGCTGTTTTTGTTGTTAGCCGTCTGCTAGGAGTCTATGATGCCTTGGACTGTCTGTCAACCAATCAGAGACTGTGTTTCTGACCATGTGGGTGGTGTTTGGCAGTTTCTTTCTGTTCCATGACTTTTCCTACTGTTTTTAGGTTTTTCAGTGTGGTATCATTTCAGTATCAAGATATTAAGGCAGGTATCTTATTGAAAATGTGATTTTGGTATTGTGACAACACCACTGGTTGGTGGACTTTGAAGAAGTCATTGACAGTGGCTGTGTATATACAGTATTAGCACATTAACTTCTCATGGAAAAGATTGCCAACTGTTTTCCAGATTATGCCATCAGTTTTTGGATTACCTCTCAAGTAGCCATTTAATTCACTTAATTTCAATGAGAGCATGCTGTTGATTGATAATCCTTCACTGTCAACATGTTGGTTTCATATTTTATCATAGTTACAGTGTGGTCGTGAAGTCTTGCAGTTTAATGTAGAGCTGTCTCATAAAATCCTTGTTGGTCCATTCATCACTGCATATTTATTATGACCTTACTGTCATGATGAGGAGTGCTTTAACTTTCATTTCTTTTTTGTTATTCAACGTCTCATCTTTGTCACAGACAAAATTAATCATTGAGATGGATGATTTATGTTTTTGGCTAATGAAATGAGCCCTGCTATAAGGATTCTTGTCTCTCTCTGTCCTCTGCTCAGTGCCTCCATGTTTGGGACCTGGATGTTCGGGGATACCACAGAGGCCTGTGGCGGCTCTTCAGAAAACGTAATCATGTCCTGGTGGTGGCTGTGCCAATCTCCCCATACTCGTAAGTGAAGCTCAAATTACAGTTTGTGCAGTTGTAAAGATGTCGAGGCCCTTGTGAAGTACATCTTCCCATGTTTGTGTGCAGCCCAAAAATTTGACTTGCAGGCTGCATCTTTATCAACACATACAGCTACGCAGACATCCAGTATACTATAAACAGAAGTATACATGCTTGCTGTTTGCCATCCACTTTGAAGTACATAACGGCTTTCACACTTCCACCTCTATATGCACACAGAGGTGGAATAGCTTTAAGACCTTTTCGTATGTTTCTAAGAGTATCTGTGGCTATCATTAGCTTTACAGATTGATCTACAGTTTTGAGTTATGAGGGGTTTTGATAGTACAGCTTCTGGCCTCCCAAGGCAATTTGGTTGCAAGCAAGGAGCCAGGTTTGCACCTTGTTTACACCCCCTCTGCATAATGAAAGCAGCCCTGCAGTGAAATTCTCCCAAAAATCTGAGTACTGAATACTGAGGAAGAGGCAAGTCTCATTTTCATGCTGCGCCAAAGTTTCTTCTAGGCACTTGCGTAACAGATGGCTATATTGATTAAATTTCAAGTGCATCTGCTCACTCAGACACTTGTAAAATGGAAAAATGAAAAAAGCATCAGCCCCAGAGGCATTCCATAAGAATAATAACAATAACTCTGTGCATCTGTGGTTTTGGGAGAGCACATCCCCGATTAAGGAATAGGGAAATCGTGGTTTTATCATTGGATGAGGGGTGTAGCTCACAGGTGGTAGTGTCTCCAGAATGACACCAAGTGATTGCAAGCCTTAAAGTCATACATGATTTTTTTATGTATGTGGAGGAGGACCAACACAAAAAGCAATGACCCAACATCAAACATAACCAACAATTTTCAACTTGGCCTTTACACTTGCATCGCTGTTATGACATACAGTATACAGTGCCCTCCAAAAGTATTGGAACAGTGAGGCCAATTCCTTTTTTTTTGTTGTAGACTGAAAATATTTGGGTTTGACATCAAAAGATGAATATGGGACAAGAGATCAACATTTCAGCTTTTATTTCCAGGTATTTACATCTGGATCTGATACACAACTTAGAAGATAGCACCTTTTGTTTGAATCCACCCATTTTTCATGAGAGCAAAAGTATTGGAACATGTGACGGACAGGTGTGTTTTGTTGCCCAGGTGTCTTCCAATTACATTGATTATTCAAACAATAAATAGCACTGAATGTCTGAGCTCAGTTTCAGATTGGGTACGATAGGTTTTGCCTGTGCAGACTGCATTTAGAGGTGGAACCAACATGAAAACCAGAGAGCTGTCTATGGGTGAAAAAGAAGCAGTTGTGAATCTGAGAGAAGATGGACAATCAATCAGAGCCATTGCACAAACATTGGCCATAGCCAGTATAACCATTTGGAATGTCCTGAAGAAGAAAGAAACCACTGGTGTACTAAGCAACAGACGTCGAACAGGTAGACCAAGGAAAACATCAGCAGTTGATGACAGAAACATTGTGAGAGCTGTAAAGAAAGACCCTAAAACAACTGTTAGTGACATCAGCAACAACCTCCAGAGGGCAGGAGTGAAGGTATCACAATCTACTGTTCGCAGAAGACTTCATGAACAAAAGTACAGAGGCTACACCAGAAGATGCAAACCACTCATTAGCAAGAAGAATAGGAAGGCCAGGCTGGAATTTGCCAAAAGGTACAGAGATGAGCCTCAAAAATTCTGGGAAAAAGTTTTATGGACTGATGAGACAAAGATGAACTTTTTCCAAAGTGATGGAAAGGCGAAAGTTTGGAGAAAGGAAGGATCTTCTCATGATCCCAAACATACAAGCTCATCTGTGAAATACGGTGGAGGTAATGTCATGGCTTGGGCTTGCATGGCTTCTTCTGGGACGGGCTCTTTCATCTTCATTGATGATGTAACACATGATGGCAGCAGCAAAATGAACTCAGAAGTCTACAGAAACATTTTGTCTGCTAATTTAAAGAAAGATGCAACCAAACTGATTGGGAGATCCTTCATCATGCAGCAAGATAACGACCCAGAACACACTGCCAAAACAACAAAGGAGTTCATCAGGGGCAAGAAGTGGAAGGTTTTAGACTGGCCAAGTCAGTCTCCAGACTTAAACCCAATAGAGCATGCATTTTACCTGCTGAAGAGGAGACTGAAGGGAGTAAACCCCCAAAACAAACAACAACTGAAAGAGGCTGCGGTGAAAGCCTGGAAAAGCATCACAAAAGAAGAATGCAAAAGTTTGGTGATGTCAATGGGTCACAGGCTTGATGCAGTTATTGAAAGCAAAGGATTTGCAACTAAATATTAAGTCTCATTCACTTTAATCTATTTTAAGTTTATATGTTCCAATACTTTTGCTCACCTAAAAATTTTGTGTTCCATTACAAATAATGCTATCTTCTAAGTTGTGTATCAGATCCAGATGTAAATACCTGGAAATAAAAGCTGAAATGTTGATCTCTTGTCTCATATTCATCTTTTGATGTCAAACCCAAATGTTTTCAGTCGACAGCAAAAGTAAACAAATTGGACTCACTGTTCCAATACTTTTGGAGGGCACTGTATATGATACTATTCAAAAACAGGAAAGTCACCTAATGTCGCTGTTATTTAGTACGCCACATCCTCATTTCATACAGACCTCACTGATGCAGGTTAAAGGAACAGTGTGTAAGATTTAGGAGGATTTAGTGGTATCTAGAGGTGAGGATTTCTACATCTACATTAAAGCAATGAATTTGAGGGTGCAAAAAAACACAACATGTGTACGCCCCCTAAATGTGTGCTCACCTTATTTCTGGTCCAGGCGTTAAGGAGGTTCTTACCGTTTCCTGAATTATTGGCAGAGGTCTGTTCCTCTCCAAAAAAACGGACCCGGTGATTTAAACTGGTAAAAATACTGAATAAAGCTGTTTCATGTTGAAAAAAATGTTTTTCTGAAGATGCTCGTCATGGAGCAGTTGCCGTGGCCGACATGAAAAAACACAATGGTCCTTTCTAGAGCTAGTGTTTGGTTTGTCCACTCTGGGCTACTGCAGAAACATGATTGTGCAACATGGCAGTTTCTGTAGAGGACCTATGTAGCTATAAACGGGCCATTCTAAGGTAACAAAAACACAACAATTCAAAAAAGTTCATGCTGTCCCTATTACATTACTTTTCTGCCAAGTAATCCTTCTAAATTCTACACACTGGACCTTTAAGTAGCCACTAGCATTTGCGCTCAGTTGACTGTTCACTTCAGTTTTAACAGGGCTGCTTGAAATATGCTCCTCCTTATTTGCACTTCTCTTGCTAATAGTTCCTTTTTGGAGCCATTGCAGTTCAGCTTGTAATTAATGATGGACGTATGCGTGTGCTACATTCATGAATGTGACTGCTGTGGTCATTTGATATTAACACAAAGACATGTAGACTGTAAATCCAGAATTTAGTTTAAATTACATTTCAGGGATCTCATAGGTAATGTATTTTCATTCAGAAGTTTGTAATATTTTGATATAACTCTTTCATGTACAGCTACACAGCTCATGTGCCACCAGTGGCACTCATACAACAGTTTGAGACAGTTTGAGAACTAGTGCTGCAGGTGAAAAATAACACATCTCAGAACATCCTTTATTTACAAAAAAAGAACAGAGATGACAATCCCCATACTCAGCAGCAAACACAACAAATGTGTCACTATCTGTCCCTTTCTGATCTCTTACCACTCTCTGTCTCTGTCCTCCTGTCTGTCCATGTCTTTGTTTCATTACCAGTGTGAAGAAACCAGCCAGTGTCACTCCCATTCACTTAGAGCCTCCACCCAAAGAAGAGGGAGCACCAGTGGAGCAGTTATAGACCTGATGTCACACGCACGCACACACGCACGCACACACACACACACACACACACACACTTCAACCAGTCCAGGCCTTAACTCGTCTTCACCAACAACCACTAATAATCCAGCCTGGGACTCACAACTACAAAACTGACTTTTCTCAAAAGTTGAACTTGTGTACGAGAGGGTACCTGGGAAATGGAGTCAAATTTTTGTCTTTCTTACTTTTAAACAAAAGAGGGATTAACACTACAAACTGCACTACTAAAGCCGTCCAAAAGCTTGAGGAGGAACTGTGATGCTAAACCCTGTTTTGAACAATCAAAACAGTATATGACTGTCAACAGCTGTCTGTTTCTGTTTCCGTGACAACTGTGGGCTGAACCCACGGTCGGTTACATTTCAATTCAAGCTGAGACTTTTCGGCAAGAACGGTGCAAACACTACAAACGCACACTCACCTATTTCAGCCAGTTTTTCCCTTTAGTTTGTCGTGTTTTTTGACTACTGAGTGAGTTGTTCATTTTGTACATATGTTTTAACTTATCTCTATTTATTTTACATCTGTCAATCAAAAAGGACTTTGTTTGGGATCTGTTGCATTTTTTTTAGATCCACTTTTATCAAGATCAGTGCATTTTTTAAGAGCCTAACGTTTACAGATAATGAAATAATAATGTATATACATGCCTATATATTTTTTGATGAAAAATTTAAAGGGTCAGCATATTTTTCAGCGTTAAGTTTGAGTGAAAGAGTTGATAACAGCCCTGTGGGTTTTTGCTATTTTTGACTGCTTGGGTCAGTTGCTTCGGATCAGGTTTCATGAGAGGATCTCAGTGGTGGCTGAAAGAAACAAAAAATGAAAATATGAACAGGACTTCACAGCGCACACTGCATTTAGAAGCAATCTAATACAGTATTCCTATTTTGATTGTGCCACAGTGATGCTTACAAACAGAAACAGAAAAAAGACCTCTTTGTTTTCAGTTCTTAATTTTAAATTCTAAAAACAAAAATCCAGTTTTTGATGTGGCAAAGGCAAAATATCGTGTCAAAAAATGTACTAAAGTTGGTTACCATGGTAAGTATTGTGTTGGTGCTGGATTTAAAAGTTTGTGTTAGCACCAGCATAGAAAATGTTCAAACAATACCAAGCCCTTTACTCAGACATTTACACTACAAATTGAAAGTGGAAAATCTAAAAAAATCTAAACAAAAATGATGATAATAAAAAAAGTATATTAAATTCTGTTGATAATTTTAGTTCCCCGGTGAAATTTTAGTTACATTTTCTTGCTTCATTAATTGCCTTTTTGATTTAGAAATGCTTATTCTTATAAGAAACGATAACAAAATGTACTTGTCAGTCTCGCAAGATACTGTTCATTTTAATTGCGTGTCGAGCTTTCTGTTTTTTATTTGCATGATGTTCCTCAATGCAGTGTATGTTTCAAATCAATGAAAAATTAGCTTGTTGTCCTAGTGTGCAGAGTTTTGGCCTCTCTCAGCCACCATCACAGCTGGAGGCTCCAACGCTTGAACAGAAAGTAGCAACTTTAGTCAGTTCATACACTCTTCATCTAGACAGAAGACAGAAAGTCCATCTGCGTATTTAAAGGCTACAGGTAATGGGTTATAAATATTGAAATATGAAGGAGCAACATCACAGAGGAGACAGGCAGATATTTAAGGGGTCCAAATGTATTTACCTATTTTTTTTGTTGCGTCCTACAAATGGAGTGGAAATGTTGGGAGGTATGATCTAAAATATCATCAGCCATTTGTAAACAACCAAATCTATATTAGAGATGTGACTTTAAAACTATAAAAATCTTTAAACAGAAGATGAGGGAGATTGTATTTTTTTCCTCATTCCGACATCTGATTTTTATGAGATAAATTATGATTATGTAGCTCTCTTGAGATTTGGCTCTTGTATTATGAGACCCTAAGTCATAGTTGATTGACAACGCCTCCAGTGTTCTTTGATGAATGCAATATGTTCTGTACAATTAAGATCAACAACGCTAAAATTATGTTGTACAACTTGGACTAATAATTTCTCTCTGCAGTTTATCAAGAAAGGACTGAAAAGCAGAATCAGTATTATTATCAAAATACTAAGCCATTTATAAACACCTAATAAGCAGTTTATAACACTATAATGTAGCTATAAGCAAACAAAAATTAGTGTACCAGTGTGTCAGCAATTAAAACCCCCCCTTATGAAGCATCACTAACGGTCAGCGATACTGTGCAATTGTAGCCCAGGAGACTATGTGCAGAGGGTCTGAGTACCAAGCTGCGCACCTCAAGATTTTGTGACAGTACAGGCGGTGTCGCACAGACCGCGTCATTGGCTAGCTACAGGACTCAGACGTGGTTATACAGTGGTGCAGGAATGAGTCCTAAAACCCAGTAATGATTCAGCATTTTAGCACTCCCCGTTCCCCCGTCTTCAAGTCAGTCAGTCAGTTGGTTAGATGCATGAGAAAAAGGTCTTTGGTAAACAAAAGCTTAACAGACTTTCATGTTTTGTTCTACGACATAAAATACGTCAGTAAATATCCTCTATCTTGGATTTTGAAACTTCTTAAAAAAGGCAATTGCCAACAATTCATCACATGGAACATGGCTTTGTTGTAGTTGTTGTAGTTCGTTCATAGCCAAATAACATCTTTGTACTTCTGGCGATTGCATTTAAACCTAAAAAATCAAAAGTGCTGTTAATTTGTATAGATTATCTTGGTGAACAAAGCGTGTAGGTATCCCAAACTTTTGTTTGCCACAGAGTTTATTTTTTGCAGTAATCCAAAACCCAGTTGAAAAATCCCATAGGCTTTTTGGCGAGGGAACCAGAGTGATGCTAACTTCCATGTTGGCCTACAGAAAAATGTCAATCCTGTAGCATCATTGACTGTATATAAAGATGGACATGGACTTGGAATTTTGAGTTTGGCCCATGTCCTGTCCGCTAACATCGTGGGGGCGAAGTGTTTGACCTATACGGCAGCTTCCAGCTACTTGACAAATAAAAAACAAAATTAGCAGCATGGTGGTCTTCTTGACTAATGAATGTTCTAAAGGGGACAGAGCTCTGGAACTGCTAAGGTACATAATCAAGGTAATTTAAGCCAAGTAGGGAAAAAAACTATATCAATGTTTATAGGCTGCCCGAGGTTATGACAGTTTCAGCCTGTAACACACCACAGAAGCTGACATCTTTAAACTCTCACTGACACACTTATTTCTGCTTGTAACTACATAATAGTGTTATTTTCTTAATATACTATTTATGAATATTAATCTTTCAGTGCTCATCCCAATTGTGTTCTGACCAGTTTTTTTTTCTTTACTCTGGCTTTTAAGTGATTTTAAGCTGGTGTAACAATGTACCGACTAAACGAATGAGTGTATCACGTTTCAACGCATCGATCAGTATTTGCAGAGTGGTTTGATTTTAATGTGTGTATTGTGTGTTCAGAAAACCACATATTTACTATCTGCAGTAAGAGAATCCTGTTAGACAGAACCATTTATTCAGCAGTATTACAACCTGTGTCGTGACTGAATTAATGTCCATGTGTGTCCTGGAAATTTCATTTTGGTTTCAAGAAAATGAACAAGTAGAATCTGCCCACTTTCTAATATACTTTTTTCATTTTTGTCTTTTCATTTAACTCTGGTTTTTATAGTGGTGCGTATGCTTCCCTTTCATGAATGGAGAGGATCCAACTAAATCAGTCTCCTCAGCAATACTGTTGATTTTGTGTGATGCTGTGGGATGATTTGGGAAAACTGGAAGGTACTTTGTATGTGTGATGTTGAGGATCCATGGACGTACTGTAAGTTTCTGATGCATTTGACATATGTATGAGTTCCTTTATCTTTTATCATGGAAATAAATAAAGATGTTTTTTACCGAGGTTTCTTAGTGGTGCTCCTTTTTCTTCTTTTTGGGGTCACACCGTACTCTGTGTTGTTGAAATAATTCATACAGAAGAATGTATTATTAGTGTGTATTATTCATGTGATAAACTTGGAGCTATTGTTATTCTTAGCTCAGATTTTTGTACTTTTTGCGGCACCGTGCTGCCTGCAGATTTCCCCAGAGACCTCCAGGCAGAGCAACGGTGAGAGGAAATGCATGCGGCGAGGGAAATATATGCAAATCCTTGCAGCTTGGTGGAGTTCTGCAGCTGCTGCGGTCTACCAAGGACAAATGTGGCTTCCTGCTCTTTGAGCTCTGACTTTCCTAACCTGTGATGGTTTGACTCCTACCAGGAGCTACTTTACATCATCAAAGTCCAAGTATTGGGAAAAAAAAAAAACATTGGTTCTATTACATATTGAATCTCTTCAAAGTCTGACATTTGAGTTTTGCATTTTCAAGGTGATTATCCCACTTTCAAAGCAGCCTTTGTTTGACAACTTTGTAAAAATTCTGCACACTTGAAACTCAGTGGAATTTTGCAGTCCATCACACATCATCATATCAGCCTTTACCAAACTTATAGTATTGCTTCGCAGAGGTGTAGACTCAAGTCAGCTGACCTGGACTTGAGTCAGACTAGATTCACAAATTTGATGACTTTAGACTTGACAATTAAAAAAAGATTTTAACACCAATGACTCGTGACTTCACTTGGACTTGAGCCTTTTGACTTGAAAATACTTGATACCTTTCCCCAGGTCTAAATAAAAGATTAAGTGTTCTGTAAAATAGTGCCATGATATCAATTCATTTTCACCTAATTTCCTGAATCATATAACATTACCAATATTAATTGACATTAGCTTAAAAACTGAGGAAGTTTTTAACAAATGCATGCACATTTTGAAAAGCATTCATGGTTTTTGATGACTATTTTTAAAATGTATATTGGCATTACATTTGTGGAAGAGCGGATGGTCAGTCTTCACTTGGAACTTAACTTGGGACTTGAATGTAAAGACTTAGAACTTAATTGTGACTTGCAAAAAAAATGACTCCGCTCACCTCTGATGTCACCTCTGTTGGGCTGCAAAGGGCCCACCAGCCCCCCGGACGACCCGCTGGTGTGTCTCTTGTTCGGACAGTTAGAGCTTTTCTCTCAGGGAAAGCTGTTCTAAAGTCAAAGTCAAAATACAAATTACAAAATAGAAGTCCTTTACATACTGAGGTCTAATAATTAGATATTCAAGCTATACATGACCTGTCAGTCTCTAACTTCTTATTTTATTTTTTAGGGTTTATGGAGGCCAGAGAATGAAATGGTTTTGCTCTCAAGACCCAAGAATTTTAGGAGTCAAATCTTATGTAAGTTTTACAAGTTTTAACACAGGTTTCTTATTTCTCGTTGACATGTGAAAAATAGTTGCAATGTCCTCCACAGTTCTAACTGTCAAGCCTGAAACAATGACCCTGATATTGTCTCAGTGACAGAGATGGCTGGTATAAATGGGCTAGCAGGGCTATCTTTTACATTAAGGACGAGAAAATTATTAAATTACAGAAAATATTAAAATATTAGTTACTGAACCTTAGAACTGATTGTATTTGGTGGAACCTATAGCAGCAACAGCACTGAAATAATCACACAAACGCAGGATTTATCTAAATGGGCTGATTTTTTACTGCCCATACTCCTAGAATCAGCTTCCAGTCATTGTTGTCACATCGTGAGTGACAGGTGTCGTGACGGTAACTTACCGCAGTAAACATGAGCCGCGGTACTGCTTTTGTGGTTACCTTCATACCGCAGTACTCCGGCTACGGCGGCAGAACGGGGCCCGGCCGGCCTGTCTCACTCACCTCCCTCGCTAAGTGATGGAGGTGGCCTGGCCGACCGCATCAAACCCAGGCCAGGAGAAGGGGGCCCGGGTGCCGCCGGCCCTCCCTCTTCCCTCTAACCTTTATACATACTATATAACGTTTTATACACAATAATAGATGGATTAGCAACCGTTTTACTTCTGACGATAAATAGCTTCCATCTGAGACTTGTATGGCTTTTTAAATTGTTTTATTTAAGGTTTAAAAAAAGAGAGAAGACGATGCCGTGATATCATACTGTCACCGCATCCCCCCAAAATAATACTGTGATATTGATTTTAGGCCATACTGCCCAGCCCTAGGCCCAAGCCCTAACCTCTTATTAAAGGAGCATTACTCCTTTCCTTTCTTTACCTTTACTGTCTGTGTGTACAGCGGAAAATAGTCAGTGTGTGTGCGTGTGTGCGTGAGAGAGAGAGAGAGCTTTTGGCATCAGAACATTTTTGTAGTTAGCCTAATTCTGTAGTTTTGCTGTAGTGCATTGTTGCTGTAACCTGGTACTGTATCTCAGTGTGATGTTACTGTTACTGCAGCTGAACTATTGATCAGTATAGGCCATAGGCCTAATGCGTTAGNTGTATCTCAGTGTGATGTTACTGTTACTGCAGCTGAACTATTGATCAGTATAGGCCATAGGCCTAATGCGTTAGCCCTCCCACCCAATTTCACCACGACCCGCTACTGCTTAGTGATGTATCCCAGCTTGGATTTGAAGACTCCAAATTTATATCAGAAAGTCTGCCTTACAAACTGGGAGTGTGAAGTTAAAAATGTGCGGGTGTTTACTAAGCATTGAGCATCTAACCGAGATTCACTCTGAAGTTGCATCAAAGGAAGTGATTCATGGTTTTTAGATCTCCATGTATACTAGGAACTAAAAGTAAGGATGTCATGCCTCTGCCAAATTGATTTGACCTTTTTTTTTCATATCTGTTTTTCGTGTTTCCGCCAAAGTAAACTCCAATGCTAAATCACTGTAGTTGTCTTTTAAGTCTGCCCCAAGACCACGATTCACGTCTACAGATCCAGGATGAGCTACCTGATATATTTTATTCCCTTGATGCGCCAAGGAGGCTCAGTAGCGCTCCCTAGAAAATGTCAATGAAGCAGCCCCCACAGTACATTTTGCTGAGAAGTATGTCAATTGGTAGGCATGTGTAACATCCCAAGATGTACAAAAATGCCTCTGGAGCCATGTCCCAAACCCAACAGGAAGTCAGCCATTTTGAATTTAATGTTTCAATTACATGCATTGTTTTTTGGCCATTTCCAGGGGAAGTACTTTAACAAACTCCTCCTACAGACTTGATCTGATTGACTTCAAATTTTGTCTGTACCATCTTAAGACCTTTGACATCAAAAGTTGCTAAAAGCTTGAGTTTTCATCAAACTGTGTGACTGTGGCGTGGTGTCAAATTTCCATATTTCGCCACCAAACAGGACATGGTTTGTAACTCTAACATAAATGGTCTAATCTGTCCCAAACTTAACATTTTTTATGGGGCTCCAGGCCTGAGGCCATCTACATGCACAGTAGGTGTCATGGTGATTGTACCACCTTCTGGTAACAGGCAGTACATTTTGTCAGACACTTATTTTTTGATTTACATGACATTTACATGGTGGGGTCTACAATTGTAGCACAGCAACATGACGTATGATTATTGTCCTCTCCAGCGCCACATAGTGGAAACAGGAAATAGTAAAAATTGTGAAATAGGTCATTTCAGCACCCACAATGCATGGAGAATAGGCCATCTCACTCCTGCATGCAATGTCTGACTTTCACAGACATGAACTTCCGCGTCAGTCAGCGTCCTTCCAGCACCCCCACATTGCGTAAAGGTGGGAGGGCCTGTTCATCGCTGCTTGCAGCTATAATTTCGTTTGTAACTGTTGTATAATCGTATTTTACACATGAGTGGATGCTTTACCATGACTGTTGGCACAACAGTGTGTCAGGGCTCAGGTGCTTGCACACACTCTAGTGTAATGTTTAGGTTTAAGGTTTTGTTTTTGTTTAAAGTAATGCGAAGCAAAGTGGCTGTAATGGATTAATGTCTGCTTGTGACACTAGCAGCACAAATGCAAACTAGATCAAACAAACTAACCTGTTCGTTATATAGATAGAAATGGCTCATTCTGTAGGATTTAGCGTCATCTATTGGCAGAAATGTAAAATATTCATAACTATGTTTTTATTATTGTATAATGACCTGGAAATAAGAAACTGTTGTTAAGGATTAGTTTACATGTGCGATGTGAGGTTGGTTGTGTGGTTTTCTTTGTATACTGAAATTGCTACATTGTGCTACAGTTCCTAATTGCAGCATTCAATCATATCAACCTTGAAGGCAGAAATCTGATGAGCAATGTATGACCATATCCACCACCTGGCTCTACATTTCAGACAAATGTAGTATTCTACTTCCAAAGAGTGGTTTAACTGCAGTATTAATGCTGGCGTCTACTTGAAAATGATATGGTGTGTAAATGTCTCCACCATTCAAATAACCCACAGGTTTAGACAAGATTCTGTCCACTTTTAGGCATTACGGCAGATTAACAAGCCCACCTCATATTTGAACATTGCAATATGTGTGCGATTTAATACAGGCTAGTTCATGCAGTGCTTAATAAAAGTCTTAAAACATACATTGTAAAGTTTTGATTGATTTTATTTTATTTTTTCCAATCAACCTAATCTTATATTATAATCTGTAGGAGAAACCGGGGCACCCGGGGAAAACCTCATATGGGAAGAACATGAAGTCCTCACAGAAAAGTCTGGTGTGAACCAGATCTTCCCAGAGACATCAGTGCTCACCACTGAAAATAAAAATAAACGACTCACTCACAAATCAAAAAGTCCGAATGGTAAAACTCAAATTTGTTATGTCAGAGGGTGTAAAGTCTGGAGCTGGCCTAGATAATAATTGGGAAAGATGTCCCAGTAACATTGAGAGCACCCAGGGAAACAAATACATTTTCTGTTTCAAATCAGATCAAGCTCAATTGGATTTAAAAAAAAAAAATCAGGCTCCATTCATTGTCTACAGAACAGCTCCAGACTTTACACCCTATGGCATCACAAATTTGAGACTTTCTTCT